CTCCTACTAAAATAAAGGGTCTGGGGACTTGGTGTTTGAGTCATTAAGCTGGGTAATTTTGAGGGGGTAATTTGACGGTAATTAGATCTAGAGGCCTTTCTCGGACTGACTCGATAAGTCTGTCTTTGTAATCATCCATCCTACAGAGAAATATAAATAAAACAACGTAAAGGCCAGAAAGAACAATAGCGTTACACTGTAAACTCCCTTGACAGCGACGAGCACGTGTTTGTGCCTTTGTCGGAGCAATGAGGAGAAGACTCTGCTCACCCCCGCCCTTCCCTCCCCGTTGTCTCATCCTGCACATCCCCACTACGAAGGGGGCATTGTCTCAGCCTACCCCCCCCTCCCCTTTGCACCCCTCCCCTCCACACACACCCTTCTTCGGACTCCACCACGCTATCACATCACTAGATCTAGTACGAGTTGACGCTGGTCCGGAACGGGGTTGCCTATTTGGCTAGTGCATAATTTGTGTCCAAGCGTCGGTATCAACTGCCGATTATCGATGTTGCCAAACAGATGTTTTACTAAAATGTTGGTCTCTATCTTAGGCTGGTAATATTTTGGCCGGATATGCCCTAACCTTGAACTAATTGCTATAAAGCTCGTTTTATGTTTTTTAAAACTGGAAACACATGACCCTTCTCACAAGCAAAAATCGAGGAAGATGTAATGGGGCAAAATATGTTTTTAAGCGGAATAAAGGAAATGATTCAATTGCGCGGTCAAAATCGAATAATCGATTAAATCGTAAATAATCGAATAAATTCGTTTCAGAAGAGGGAGAGGGAATGGGAGGGCTTTGCTCCCCTGATTTCGGTTAGTTGAGGGTTACGGTAGGGTTAGTTGTCCGAGAGCAGTGTTTTCTTGAAAACTTGATTTGCGACGCGTTTTATGGCCATACGAATTTATTCGATTATTTCCGAATTTATTCGGTTATTCGATAGAGACAGAGAAAGAGAGAGGGAGAGCGTGAGCGGGGAAATGCTTGTAATGTCCTCCCTCCTCCTCACACA